GCGCGGGCGGCGGCGGCGGGTGCTGCGGTTGGAGCCGGCTGCGGCCGGGCGTTTCTCGGTCTCACGCGCTGAGGCGGAGCCGCCGGAACTCCGCGTCGGCGCGAGGGCGGGGGGAGGAGTGGGTGAAAGAAAGAACCAACAGGTTGCGGGGTTTTTTTCAATTGGTACCGCCCGGCGGGGCGTCGCTTCTTGGCTGAAGGCCCGGTGGTATCGTCCAACGGTCACCGCTCGCGCCTCGGCTCGAGAAGCCCGTTTCGAAGCCGCCCCAACGTTCGGAGGCAGCGGTGTGCTCCCCCACGTTGGTAGTGGCTACCGCTTGACACAGCCTGCCAGGAACTGGAAGGGAGGAGAATAAGAGAGAAGGGAGGGGGTGGGGACAGGAGAAGGAGAAAAGAGCTCTGCGAACTTGCTGGGAACGATGTTGCGACATGCGCATGCGCCTCACTGCACTAGCCAATCGGCTGAGGAGACGATTGCTTTGTTGGGCCAATAGCCTCTGGAGTGAGCTGCCGACGTAGGTGCGTCACACTGCGTGCCGCCTGCGCAGGAAACCAGCGGCTCCTGTGACTGGTGCGACGCAACTCCGAACGCAGTCGCGGTTGGTTGAGTTAAATTTTTTTTTTTTGGAGCGTTGCACATGCGCGCAGGCAAATGTGGGCGAGCGGGGCTTGAGGTGGCCGCCCAGGGAACGAGGCAGCGCGCGAAGTACAGCACGAGCCACTCCTGCCGCTCGTCTGGGTGCAGCGGTTAGCGCCCAGGCCCCCCCCCCCTCCCCGCCGCAAGGGCGGTTGTGGGGATATGGGGAGGGGACAAAGAGGCGGCGGCCGGGCCGGAGCGTCACCGTATCCCCGCGTGGGATGGCTGTGCGCAGGGGTTACTGTGTTACATATTGCATAACTGAAGGCAGTTTTAAAAGCAGCTCCCCTCGTGGATCGGCTGCCTGCCACCCTGCTGCCTCTGATACAGAGGTAGCAGCACAGGGTGGCAGCAGTCTGTCTGTGGGGGGAGGGGGCCTCCGCTCCCTGCAGACAGAGGCTGCTCCGTGGGATGCCGAAGCAGCCTCTGTCCGTGAGAAGCTTGGGCCTCCCCTCCCCACCTCTCTGTGGTGCTGTCATAGTGGGGGCAGGTGGCACCAGTGCTGGGGTCTCGTTCCATAGTGGGGGCAGGTGGCACCAGCGCTGGCTCCTCCCTGCCCCCCTCGATGCCTCTAAGGAAACAAGTGGGGGAAGGTGGGTCCACAGAGCCAACATGCAACCCTTGAAAGCCAAATCCGCGTGCATATATGCTCCAGCATACTTACCTCACTCGCCATGCTGCTGCCTCTCTATCAGTAGTTGCAGTGC